GGTTAGATTAGGTTAGGTTAGATTAGGATTGGATGGGTTAGGTTAGGTTAGAGGATTGGATTAGGATTGGAAGGTTAGGTTAGTGTAGGTTAGATTCGGTAACATTCTAACAACACTCTTAGGTTTAAAGACTTGTTCAATAATTCCAGCCAATGATCTTCCTCGTACTAACAGGACTATTAACCAACTTCACCTGTTCCTATCCTTCTACTCCTCCTTCTCCTCATACCTCTCCTCCTCCTCATACTCCTCCTTTCTCTTTCTTATCTCCTTACTCCTCCTTCTCTTCATCCTCAGTTAACCAGTCTGTCTGTTTCGCTTTCACTTCTGCTTTCATTTGTGTGTGTGTGTGAGAGAGAGAGAGAGACCAGCCACCTAACCATCAGCTGACCTCAACTCTTCTCACTTGCACTACACAAACACCCTGTCAACACCCCGGCCCCTTGTGTCACCCTCTGCCACATCCTTCATTCATACTTACTCCTTATTCCTTCATTCATACTTACTCCTTATTCCTTCATTCATACTTACTCCTTATTCCTTCATTCATACTTACTCCTTATTCCTTCATTCATGCTTACTCCTTATTCCTTCATTCATACTTATCCTTATTCCTTCATTCATACTTACCCTTATTCCTTCATTCATGCTTACTCCTTATCCTTTCATTCATGCTTACTCCTTATTCCTTCATCTACTACCTTATTCCTTCATTCATGCTTACTCCTTATTCCTTCATTCATGCTTACTCCTTATTCCTTCATTCATACTTACTCCTTATTCCTTCATTCATACTTACTCCTTATTCCTTCATTCATGCTTACTCCTTATTCCTTCATTCATACTTACTCCTTATTCCTTCATTCATACTTACTCCTTATTCCTTCATTCATGCTTACTCCTTATTCCTTCATTCATGCTTACTCCTTATTCCTTCATTCATGCTTACTCCTTATTCCTTCATACCTCCTTATTCCTTCATTTATTACTTACTCCTTAATTTATTCATGCTCCTCCTTATTCCTTCATTCCTTACTCCTTATTCCTTCATTCATGCTCCTCCTTATTCCTTCATTCCATACTTACTCCCTTATTCCTGCATTCATACCTCCTTATTCATTCATGCTTACTCCTTAATCCTTCATTCATCTCACTCCTTATTCCTTCCATTCATTAACTTACTCATATTCCTTCATTCATGCTCACTCCTTATTCCTTCCATTCGCTTCCTCCTTATTCCTTCATTCATGCTTACTCCTTATTCCTTCATTCATGCTCACTCCTTATTCCTTCATTCATACTTACTCCCTTATTCCTTCATTCATACTTACTCCTATTCCTTCATTCCCTTTATCTTATTCCTTCATTCATACTTACTCTTATTCCTTCATTCATACTTACTCATATTCCTTCATTCATGCTTACTCCTTATTCCTTCATTCATACTTACTCCTTATTCCTTCATTCATGCCTCCTTATTCCTTCATTCATACTTACTCCTTATTCCTTCATTCATGCTTACTCCTTATTCCTTCATTCATACTTATATATTCCTTCATTCATGCTTACTCCTTATTCCTTCAATTAACCTTACTCCTTATTCCTTCATTCACCCTTACTCCTTATTCCTTCATTCATGCTTACTCCTTATTCCTTCATTCATGCTTACTCCTTATTCCTTCATTCATGCTTACTCCCTATTCCTTCATTCATGCCTCCTTATTCCTTCATTCATACTTACTCCTTATTCCTCATTCATGCTTACTCCTTAATCATTCATGCTCACTCCTTATTCCTTCATTCCTTCCCTCCTTATTCCTTCATTCATGCTCCTCCTTATTCCTTCATTCATACTTCTCCTTATTCCTGCATTCATACCCTCTTATTCCTTCATTCATGCTTACTCATATCCTTCATTCATGCTCCTCCTTATTCCTTCATTCATGCTTACTCTTATTCCTTCATTCATACTCCTCCTTATTCCTTCATTCACATGCCTCCTTATTCCTTCATTCATACTTACTCCTTATTCTTCATTCATACTCCTCCTTATTCCTTCATTCATACTTACTCCTTATTCCTGCATTCATACTTACTCCTTCCTTCATTCATACTTACTCCTTATTCCTTCATTCATACCTCCTTATTCCTTCATTCATGCCTACTTATTCCTTCATTCATGCTTACTCCTTATTCCTTCATTCATACTTACTCCTTATTCCTTTATTCCTTGCTTACTCCTTATTCCTTCATTCATACTTACTCCTTATTCCTTCATTCATGCTTACTCCTTATTCCTTCATTCCTTACTTACTCCTTATTCCTTTCATGCTTACTCCTTATTCCTTCATTCATGCTTTCTTTATTCCTTCATTCATACTTACTCCTTATTCCTTCATTCATACCTCTTATTCCTTCATTCATGCTTACTTTATTCCTTCATTCATGCTTACTCCTTATTCCTTCATTCATGCTTACTTTATTCCTTCATTCACTTACTCCTTATTCCTTCATTCTGCCTTACTCCTTAATCCTTCATTCATGCTCACTCTTATTCCTTCATTCATGCTTCTCTTATTCCTTCATTCATGCTCCACTCCTTATTCCTTCATTTCCTTGCACTCCTTATTCTGCATTCATACTTTACCTTATTCCTTCATTCATACTTACTCCTTATTCCTTCATTCTTCTCTATCTTACTCTTATTCCTTCATTCATGCTTACTCCTTATTCCTTCATTCCTCTTCCTCCTTATTCCTTCATTCATACTTACTCCTTATTCCTTCATTCATGCTCCTCCTTATTCATCATTCTCTTACTCCTTATTCCTTCATTCTTCCTCCATTCCTTCATTCCTACTTACTCTTATTCCTTCATTCATACTTACTCCTTATTCCTTCATTCATACCTCACTTATTCCTTGATTCATGCTTACTCATATTCCTTCATTCACTACTCCTTCATTCACAACACAGGTGGTACACACAACACAGGCAGTACACACACAGTGGTACACACCAGGCTATACACACACTGGTGGTACACACAACACAGGTGTACACACAACACAGGTGGTACACAACACAGGTGGTACAGGTGTACACCTGGGTACACAGCACAGGTGGTACACAGACGGGTGGTACACACAACACAGGTGGACA